GAAACAGCACGTTAGTAATTATTAATATTATTCTTTCTTTCCGCTCATTCGTTCGGCCGACGTTTCCAGGCTCGCCCCGCGATCGATCGCGCCGCTTCCGAACGTACAGCACTACATGTAATAAGCCGTGCTTCGAGACCTCGAAGACTGCCATCGAAGGGAGGAGAGAGTGAATTGTCGGGTACCCGAATGAAAACAACCGTTGCACTAAGTCAGAACGAGTGTTTACTTCATATTTAAAAAAAAAAAATCTTGTCTCTAATCGTTTTCCATTGTTTAAAACAAGTAACGATATTCTAAGAACTCAAGTAAATTAAATTTAAAAATACAACAATGGCTACTGGGTCTGATAAATCCATGAGTAAATACAAAGAACTGATTCTAAGGCGTAGTTCTATTAAAGGTCAAATAACAAAGTTTAAAAATTATTTAGCTTTATTTGAATCATCACCGTTATCCAGTATTGAGGTAGCTGAGCTATCAGTAAGATTAAACAGATTTGAAAATTTATCCACAAAATTTGATAGCCTTCAATCAGATATTGAAGTGCTCAATCACGATAGTCTAGAGAGGGAAATCGATGAGAGGGATGGTATTGAGCGCGACATCATTTCATGCATTGCTACGGCAAACAGTTTGATATCAGAAACAAACATTCAACTAGAGGCGCGCCGAAAGTCCGTCGCGCCACCGGAGCCTCAATGCCATCACCACCACGATGACCCTGGTGTTAAGCTGCCACAGATTCAGATTTCTAGATTTGACGGAGCTTATTTCCGCTGGCTCGAGTTCCGTGATACCTTTGAAACATTAGTGCATAATAATTCGCGTATTTCCGATATTCACAAATTTCATTACTTAATTTCCTATCTCGAAGGAGACGCAGCTAGAATCATCTCCAAGCTCGAAGTATCTTCTTCTAATTACAGAGACGCCTGGTCATTGCTTTGTGAGCGGTACAATAACAAAAGACTTCTTATCAATTACCACTTGTCTGCTTTAATCAATGTACAACCGATCGCACGCGAATCAGAAAGGTCATTAAGATTTTTAGTTGACCATGTTACGAAGAACTTGCGTGCACTTTCTAGCTTGGAACTACCCACAGACAAGTGGGATATCTTGTTAATATTTTTACTTTCATCTAAATTAGATAATGTCACTCTGATTAAATGGGAAGAACTGCGTAATACTTTTGATAGTGTCCCAGAACTGAACCAGTTTCACAAGTTCTCAACAACAGTCATGGGATTAAACGCTCCAAGCTTGATCAGCTCTAAACTTGGCTGGCTGGTAGCCGGACCTATTCATGTTATTTCGTCAAAGTATGTTGAACGTAATCAGTCTGCTCTTTTTGCTTCTTGCAAGCAAGAGAGCTCACGACGAGTATAGTAACGGTTTCAGAATCGATTATAATCAATATTAATTACTACTCTAAACTATCAATGTTGCAAAGATCATTCGCCTACCTAAGGCCATTCATTTTTAATTTAAAAAACCCTTTAAACAAACGCCTAGGTTTCGTAACAGCTAAATAACTAGGCACATACTTAAGAACTAACAATGCGTCTCTTTCTGACTTTGCTGCTCAAGAAGGAATCAAATTTCATTTCGTTCCCACTTACTCTCCTCACTTCGGTGGTCTTTGGGAATCGGGTATAAAATCCGCTAAACACCACATCAAGCGTGTGATAGGCAATAGCCATCTAACCTTTGAGGAACTACAAACTTTATTTGCACAA